TGTTGGTACAATTTTCCATATATTCAATTGCAATCTGATGGTTCTTCCAGAAATAGGAACAAAAAACAGTTGGTTGAAACTGGTATTAGTCCCAACTAAAGTAGATTAATTAAAATGAGTTGGTCTCGTTAGTCCACTTTAAGAAAGCCCTATAGCTTTCAGTGGTTCTACTCGAGTTAAGACTAAATTTTGATTTAATCTATCACATGCTGAAACAAAATGTGAAATAAAAAACATTAATTTACACAAAGTAAAGGCATAATAAACCTAAATCCAATTATGAACCCCAACTAGAGTAGACCTAGAAAATCAGTTACAGAAATGAAAGACATCACTTCGTAAACCCCACTAATTCAAATGAACTCCACTACTTGGTAGTAACACTTCAGTTTAAATTATAATGCATAATACATGTATGGATTTGCATGGCATCAATATCTATCTATCTATCTATCTATCTATCTATCTATCTATCTATCTATCTATCTATCTATCTATCTATCTATCTATCTTCCAGCCAGCCAGCCAGCCTTCCATCCAGGGGCTGAGTTTGATTCCGGGGGGGGGGGGCTGAGTCTGAGTGAAAGTGGGTCTACCCTAGCAAACCTTTTGTATCATTACCCCAATACCCCCATGCATATGGGATATATTGAACATGGTGATCAGATCATGATATGAATAAACATAACAGTTTAAATAATGTACCAGTAAGGCCTTTTCGCGGACCACCATGACAATTTGGGGGGGGGGGGGCTGAAGCAGCAAAGACAGGATGGGGAAGGAGCAGCAAAGACAGGATGGGGAAGGGGCTGTCTTCCAATATTAATGTTATCTATCAATATTATTTCATTATATAAACATCTATTATTTTCTTTCTTTGGCAGAATTCTTGGAGTTTATGAAAGGCGTTGAATAAACCTGAAATTTCTAGAAGAGCAATCTCAAGACTGAACATCTCCTGTTTTTCCTTGCACCATTTTCATGAGTTCTGTTTTGCTTACTGTATATGAAGTCTTGTACTGAACGTGGTGAACATCAGGAAAATCTGAGTCATCTCTTAAGTGCCTCAGCTGGTCATCTTCTAGCTATTTATTGAGATGAATTCTTGTAATTCTTTTATTGACATTAGTGGCATTGATCATAAAGTGTTACTTAATGTAAAAGAATGTGTTACTTAATGTATTAAAATGATGACTGTTTGAGCCATTTAAGAATTCACTCAGAAATCTGATATGTGAAATATGACAATTCTTTCATATATCTCATCCCCAGTCGGTGTCAACGATTTGTAAATCCAATAAGAAATACCTGTTTTAGAAATGCTAATAAAATTATTTCAAAACCCATAGTGCTTTTCATGGATTTTGTACAGGCCAACTGTCCAATAGCTATCAGTCATATTTATAAAAACGAAGTAATTCAAATAGTCATATACCAGTGGTTCTCAGCCTGTGGGCCCCCAGTTGTTTTGGCCTACAATTCCCAGAAATCCCAGCCAGTTTACCAGCTGTTAGGATTACTGGGAGTTGAAGACCAAAACATCTGGGGACCCACAGGTTGAGAACCTCTGGCATATACTAAAGCCTTCTCATTATGGTTTTATGATGTTCAGAACTGCAATCCTGAGGGTGTTTTGTCACATTTCCATTTGAAGTACAGTTAACGGAAGTAGTGGAGGCTGCCAGACAGATTTAGCTGAGATTTTCAGGATGCCCTGTTTCTCAGCCTGCTATGAAATTATTTTAAAACTCATTTGGAAATACAAAGTTAAATGACACCAATAAGAGCAGTTTTTCCAATGCAAAACAATATTGAATGGATTCATGTGGCACTAATAAAATATGCTCCAACAGCAGTGCAGAGTAACTTGGTTCATACCATGCAGCACTATTTTCCTGTGCATAATAATCAGTGATAGGAACGTAATTAAAATACATTTACCAATTAAATTAGACATTTTCTAACAAAGAGGGCAACTTAACTACATTTAGCTTTTGATGTAATTAGTTGACTTAATTTAAAATTTCAGCATTAATGGAATTCAAGAATTAAAATATCAATTAGGTTATTTAATTAAATTCACATTTCCCAGCTGGTTCTTTAATGAATACAAATGGCAATTAGGAAACCTGGTTTATTTTTGTTCATGATTCATGATATTAGTTTATTTTACTACAAGGATAACATTTTAAACAAAAAAAGTATTAAGGGCAATTGGGAGGGGAGGGAGGTTATGGTTATGTTATTTTATTTATTGTTTTGGTTTGGTTTGTTTATTATGGCATTGAAAGTTTGCCACATTTTGCCTGGAAACTGTCCTGAGTCCCTCTGGGGAGATAGGATGGGTTACAAATAAAGTTTGTTAGTAGTATTAAGATGAGAAATTGGAGTTTGAAAAAATTATACAATTCAAAGGGGTTTCTATGCTGGAAAAAACACCTATTACTATTATCTTTATTTATACCCTGCCTTTCTTCCAGTGGGGTCTCAAGGCAGCTAACAAACCACAATAGACAAGTTTAAAAAGAGCAATATAAAAGTTTAAAAAAAAACAATTAAATAGTAACAGCGTGGTAAAAGCAGAACTAAAATACAGTAAATACACTAAAATGGCCTTTAAAACTCATATTCCCCTCTCAATCCCACTCAGTCTCCCCAGTGCCTGCCCCTTACCATAGTTACTAGGGCTGGGCGGTTTCGTTTCGTTAATTCGTAATTCGTTAATAATTCGTTAATTTTGTTGATTACGAAGCGATAACTAACCATTCTGGAGCAATTTTTTAAAAAAACGAATTTTTAAAGACGTTTTGTAAATGCTTTGTATTTCGTTATTGTATTCGTTTCGTTATTGTTCCGAGGTCGTTTTGTTATTATTTCCGCATGTCTGGGCCAGTTTTATGGTTTAATTAGTGAAAAAAAATTATAATATCACACCAACAGTCAACAACAGAGGGAGAGGAAAGCTTCAGAAGTTTTTGGAGGTTTTTTAGCGTATTTCGCGGTCGCGTCCGCCATTAACGAATCGATTAGTTATTGTTTCGGAAATCGATTCGTTATTTTTTTACCATTTACGAAATTTCGTAAATATCGAACTTTTTAAAAGGAAAATTTTGTAATTATTTTAAATATCGAAACGCAAAAACCCCCAAAAAACGAATCGATTTTAGAAACAAATTTTTCCGTTGTTACCCAGGCCTAATAGTTACCTCTGGAATACATACATATGAATCAAAAGGTTTTAACGGATTCTTAAAAACCTGATTTTTTTGCTCTGCAATTTTTAAGGAAATTCCAATGTTTTTATAGTGTGTCCATCTGGACCAGAGTGGCATGGGGAGGGGGCAGGATGGATTGGTGGGTGGCAAGCATCACAACTTTTTAAAAAAAAAGTGTTGATGGATCCCTTGCTGTTGACTGTGTCTTTCTCTATGGGGCATCAGAAGCAATGCCACCGTCTTCTCTGCAAAGTGCCTCCCTAGCAGAGCCCCCTTGTGAGGTTGACTGGGTTGTCCCCTCATGATTGATCTCATTGCTAGGCCCCCATTGCCACCTCAGAGCAAGTAATTTTGCAAGTAGGGCTCTGCTGGAGAGGAGCTTGAATGGAAGGCAGTGGTTATGCTTCCATGGCCCGAACCAGAAAGACCTTTTCAATAGTGAGAGTCCTGATATAGCCTTTCACCGCCGATCTCATTTATGGCTGGCCTTGGCTGGGGAGTATGTGTCAGCCTCCAAGAAAAGGAAGAAAATTGTCTCCCTGATCTGAGTTTGGACAGATGACATATGTGTGGCCATCAAGACAATGTCAGTGCAGTGCATTGTGAGCAGGTGTATGCTAAAGGGGAATACTGGGGCAGAATATTCTGAATTGCAGCTGGATTATTTTCCTGGTATATACAAGCCCTGAGTCTGAAGGAGTGACAAAGGAGTGATGATGGGGTGGGAGGAGAATAAAAGTGTAGATGGAATTTTTTCAGCCTCCTGATAAGGCTCTAGTGCAGATTAAACAATAATTTAACATGAATGTGAGAGTTGAATATTTCCTCCTTGTAACAGAGATGTTCATCAAATCAGATTATTTTATTTTATTAATGATGAACAAAACACACAATTTTAGACCAATATTATGATCTCTGATCATCACATTCTTGTGCTTTTTATATGTGATTCACGTATATTTGAGGGTTACAATCCATCAACCTCTCTCCCAACCACTCAATATCATTTTGATTGGAATTGTATCTCCTTTTGAATCAAGAGCAGGTAGTCTGAAGGATAAAATCAGGCAAGAAATTGCTACGTACCATCTATTTCCAAGCTGAAGAGAAGTCTACATAACATAATCATCCAAGCAATAAAACTTTCATTGATTTCAAATGAACTCCCATTTATTCAGCGGTAGTACAAGTTAGGTTCTAAATGACACAGAACACTGAATATTAGATTCCCATTTATTCTACATTGCCGGAGAGGTTTGATAAAAAAACCAAAAAACTAAACCCAAACCTATTTCTAAAGCCATCGCAAATGTGTCTTTTCATTACTTTGGTATTAGGGCTTTTAAATTTATTACTCTTCTTCTTCCATGCATAAAAACTGGATTCAAATGAAAGGGATAACATTATAGTATCGATTAGACAGTGTCTTTTGTAAAAGGCATAATAGGAGAATTATGAGAGATTATTATCCTTTCAGCAGATGTCATTCCATGCCAACAAAATGGAATGATGAATCATTCTCTGTTTTCTTCCAATGCTTTAACATTCCTTGGACCCAATGCAACATGTAACTCCACTACCTGCTTGGATCAGGCTAGTGAGAAGAAATACAAGTTCGGTGTTGGGGTGTTAATGATTCTTGGTTTGTTCTTAGGTTTCTGGTTCAATTGCATCATCGTTATACTAACAATTAGACATAAATTTCTCAGGAATCCTATTAATTATGCTATGGTGAACCTGTCAGTTGCAGACATGTTCAGCATAGTCTTTGGACTTGGTCCCACCATGGATGCTAATTTGAAAGGATATTCCTTCCAAAGCAAGTCATTCTGCGCCTTTCAGGGATTCTGCATTACTCTGTTTGGTAAGTGTTCATCCATCTTGATCTAGATTTCTGTGTGGTATTGCTCATAGTGTTTGTGTTGCTTAGAGCTGTCTGTATGTGCAGTAAGGATAAGGATGTCTTCTAATGATAGTGTGGTGGTTTTTAGTCCAAGTAGGAGCCCACTCTGTTTTTAGTTCAAAGCTGTTCAAACTGCTGAGCTCAGCCATAAATTCAGTACCTTGGAGAGCTCTTTTCAGGCTAAATCTCACTGCCTTTGAGCCATCTGCTGTCACTAGGATAGTGGGTGGGGGGCTCCAATGACTCCAATGATAGTGGGTGGGGCTCCAATGACAAATCAACCAATCTGCAAAGTCACGCTGAGAGGTCTAGAAATTAATATCTTCCTCTGTTCAGCATCAACCCTCATTCATCTATGGCACTGAAAGGGGTTCACTCACTTGGCTCTCAATAGGTACTCCATCTAGAATAATGTAGCTGCTAAGAGAATGACCTGGAATCAAGACCTCTATCATGGCTCAGCTTTCATCTCTTCCACCAGCCTTTTAAGGGTTATTTTAGGCTGGGATGGGCATCATGCAACTATTGATAAGACATAATCTCAAACATTTCTTAATTTTAACTAAGATATCTGGAAATTATGGAGATTGTTGGGCACCTCTTGTTTGATGCCAACCTCAGACTTGCAGGGATCTTCTTTTTATGAAGAACAACTATAATGCATATTGAGTATCCCTTATATTAAATGCTTGGGATCAGAAGTATTTCCAATTTCCAATTTTTAAAATTTTGAAATACCTGCATTTGCATTTATGTCCATAATGAGATATTTTATAGATGGGCTTCAAGTCTAAATGTGGCATTTATTTATCTTTCATATACACCTTATACATATAGCCTGATTAAATGTATTGCAACATTTTAAATAATTTTGTGCATGAAACAAAGTTTGTGTATGCGGAAACATTAGAAAGCAAAGATGTCACTCTCTTAGTCAGCCATGTGTACAGTTTCAGATTTGGGAGTGTTTTGGAATTCTGGATAAGGGATGTTCAGCCATAAGATGCTGAAGACATTTGTAACTAAGCCATGGCTGGATGAACATTTAGGTCCCACATTCTGTGTATCCTCCTAGCACTGTTCTCATTTGAATATAGTGTCAATATAGCCATTTTCCTTAAAGGCAATTTCCAATGCTCTGACATGAGCAAGACAGGAGGAGCAATGTAAAACCCTGTATCCATGCTTTTGTTAATGAATCTCCTCATGGGAACATCATTACTGGGCTTCTAGTTGAGCTTTACCATAAGAACCTCATTCATTACTGCTTTCTCTTCCTGCTGCAGGGCTGGTGGCTCTTTGGTCAGTTGTGCTGTGTGCTGTGGAAAGGTACCTGCTAGTTTGCAGGCCATTCAAAGCTCTTCACTTTGGAAAGAGACATGCTGTGCTGGCCCTCTTATTTATCTGGCTGTGGTCTCTGATCTGGACTCTCCCACCACTTTTTGGCTGGAGTAGCTACGAGGTAGAAGGCATTGCCTCAAACTGTGCCCTGGCATGGCACAGGAAAGACTGGAAGAGCCGCAGTTACCATTTGTCTCTCTTCTTTGTCTGTTTCTTGGTTCCCTTTATCCTTATGTCATTGTCTTATGGCATGCTCATCTTCACCCTCAGGAAGGTAAGTTCTGCCATTCTACTTTTCATAGCAGACAACTCTTCACCTAATTTTCTTATGCACAGTGTCTAATCCTCCAGATGTTCTTGAAGTGCAAAGCCTATGTTCTCGATTACTCTGGTGATTGAGCCTGATGGGATTTATGATCCAGTCCTGGACTGTTGGGGGTTTTAGATATAAATAAGTAGAAGCTTACCACTGTTTTTGAACCAAAATAATGTGTCACTCAGATTTGTGTAATGAGTAACAGTTACTTTACTTCAGTTCAAAAGGTCAAACAGAGCAGCAATATATATAGCAGTCTGTCTGAATTCTTACAGAGAAAAGAGGGAATAAACAGTCCTTTTAAACAGTCTTTAAATTATGCTTCATGCCGTAGAAATGATCAGGCTTCAGAGAGTTGGCAGCCATTTCTTTCTTGTTTCCAAACAGCGCTCTCTTCACTCTCCGAAGTAAAAGTGGCAGTTAAAACTGTTTCTCTCAGCAGCCAGCTAGAGACAGTAACCAATCAGAATTCTGGCTCCTGACTGGCTTAGCCAATCAGCTGCCGACACATGCCTTACCAGTCAACCCATTACATAATGGTGCCTTTTTACAATTCCCCACATGGACAATATAATCAATGCAGCAGGCAGAGATATGAAACAACAGCACCTAGTGGGCTTCACATTCCCATGCTTGATCTCCAGCAAGACTGAGATTGAAGTAAAGATGCATTATTTTGCCTGTGTAGATTCTGCCTATATTTCAGTGGATGCCTTGGGCTGTATCTTCTAGAACTTCCTTTTTATCAAGGCTCTAGTGCAGACACTCAGATCTTGGCCTCTTTTCATAATTTTTCTGGCTGATGCTTAATTTTTAAAAGAGAACAATTAGCAAAAGACAAATAACCAACTATGCAGCCTTGGACTGCTGACGTTCGTAGGAGTTAAGTAACAACTGTCTGAATATAATTAAAACATTTGAGAGAGATGTGTCATCCACACTACTGTGACTTGCAGTTATTTATAGTCACATTATTGCGGGGGATACTGGGAATGCTTGGGTGCAGCTGCCATTGTACTAACAGCTGTCATAAGCATCCATCCTTTATTGTTGCCCTCTGAGTTCCTCCTCTTTGACTGATTTGCATCCAAAGCTCTCTGTCATTGTTTTAGTTGAAGCCCTTGAAAGAGGAGGTGAAGGACACTCATGCTGTTAGAACTGTCACAAAAGGCAAGAAAGAACACATCAGCTTTCAAGACATTTTGAACATTCACAATATGGAGATATGAGCAATACATTTAAACAAGTGCTTGCTACTCACTGATAACAGGATACACAACATGCATGGTAATACGGGATGATTATTCCTTGTCTAAGAAAGCACTATGAAATTCATAAGGTAATCATAAGCCGAGAAGTGACTTGAAGGCAAATGCATACCAGTGAAATATCTCATACAGTTTAAATGGCATACCTTTACCTGATGACATCAAGGCTGATTTATGTTTGAAGTCATGAGATGTCTCTATCATGGGCCATTTGAACTATTCTAATTTGGGTCTAAGTCAAGCACATTTTTTCCATTCTTCATCTGGAACTTTAAATTTAGGAGAAAAATATGAAGGCCTACTTTCACCAAAAACAAACAAAATACAGTCTCATGGCAGGGGTCGAGCTACAGGATGTAAATAGAATGATGCAAGGCAATCAGTTGACTGGTTCAAGATCAGCTCAAAGGAGAGATTTTATTTTTTATTGTAATCAAGACCGGAATAATGTTAATATCTTGTAAATCGCCTTAAGTCTTGGAGAAAATAGATTATCTAAATGAAACCATCACCATTGTCATCTCTCCAAACAGAACACTAGCACCAAAAAAAAGGTGGATTTTCCATTTTTAGATCGTGGAGCCACCTTGCTGAGGTGAGACAGCTGCCCCAGGCTGCTGACATTCAGTATCATGAATTGTTACTTTTTAAAATGTGTTATTATTGTTGTTTTGCTGCCAGGAAGAGGGAGAAGTGCTTGCACCATTTTTCTACCTTGCATGCCAAACTAATGTTTGCTGGCTTTGGTACTATAGTTTGATTGGTGGTGGATGCCCTTTGCTCATCTCTGAAGCAGGAAAAGAAGTATTTAGTTGGCCCAGTATACACTGCAGTGTAGCATTAAAAAGTGTCTCCCACCTGTAGCCAGATACGACACCATCCCCTACCAACCCCTAAGCATTTTACTTTCCCCATTTACAGACACACAGGGCCTTTCCAGAAAAGCCCTATTTCCCCGGATCTGATCCCAGTTTGTTGCTTTAAACTGAATTGTATGAGCCCGCCCTGCCAGATAATCTGGGATAAACAGAAAACCTGTGATCAGATGCTGGGATATAGGGCCTATCTGGAAGGGCCCAGAGTCTAAGTGATAAGGGAAGTGGTTTTGAGAGGAGAAATGAGTGGCAAAGCATTACTGCATATTCTCACATTTAAATCTAGAAGCTTTAGAGTTCCCCCGGGGAGATAGGGTGGAATATAAATAAAGTTTTATTATTATATTATTGTATTAATGAAAACAAACAACCCAAAAACTTGGGTCAACTTATCCATGTCAGTGTTATGTACTGTACTGTAACTCTTATGAAAAAGGGGACCATCTTCTTATCTGAGTAGAGTGGTGAATGGCAAGAGCTTAATCTATCCCAGGAGAACCTAAAAACAGCTCTGACTCACTCTACTCTCTTCTGGCAAAAGTGCTCTTCCACCAGCCATCAGCCAATCCCCCTGCAATGCTAGAAATACAGCTTAATGGTTTAACATTAGAAAACATTGACCATTTCTAAGACCTTGGCAGCCATCTCTCCATAAAAGTCAACATTGACACTGAAATACAACACTGCCTGAGCTCTGCGAGTGCAGCATTTTTCCGAATGAAGCATAGAGTGTTTGAAGACTGAGACATCCATAGGGAAACCAAGGTGTTTGTTTATAAAGCCATTGTCCTCCCAACCCTGCTATGTGCCTGTTAAACGTGGACTATCTACATACGTCACACTCAACTCCTGGAATGATTCCATCAGTGTTGTCTCTGAAAAATCTTGCAAATTTCTTGTGAATACAGGTGGACAAATGTCAGTGTGCTGGAAGAAGCAAAGACCACCAGCATTGAAGCAATGCTCCTATGCAGGCCCGTAGCCAGGATTTCGTTTTGGGGGGGGGGGGGGCTGAAATTTTTTTCAGGGGGGGTTCGGGGGGGCTGAGTTTTTGGGGGGGGGCTGAGTCTGAGTGAAAGAGGGTCTACCCTAGCAAACCTTTTGTATCATTACCCCAATACCCCCATGCATATGGGATATATTGAGTATGGTGATCAGATCATGATATGAATAAACATAACAGTTTAAATAATGCACCAGTACGGCCTTTTCGCGAACCACCATGAGAATTTCGGGGGGGGCTGAAGCCCGCCCCCCCCCCCCCCCCCGCCCCGGCTACATGCCTGCTCCTATGCCATCAACTCCGCTGGACTGGCCACTTTGTCTGAATGCCTGATCACTGTCTCCCAAAGCAGTTACTATATGACCAACTAAAGAATGGGAAATGTAATGTTCATGGACAGGAAAATAGATTTAAAGATGGGCTTAAAACCAACCTTAAAAACTGTGGCATAGACACCTAGAAACTGGGAAGCCCTGGCCTTTGAGCACTCTAACTGGAGGTCAGCTGTGACCGCAGTGCTGCAGAATTCGAAGAGGCATGAATGGAGGGTAAAAGGGAGAAACATGCCAAGAGGAAGGCATGTCAAGCCAACCCTGACTGGGACCACCTTCCACCTGGAAACCGATGTCCTCACTGCAGGAGAATACGTGGGTCAAGAATAGGGCTCCACAGCCAACTACAGACCCACCACCAAGACACTACACTTGGAGGACCATCATGCTCAGGCTACAAGGGATCCCCTAAGAGTAACACTCTCTTTTGGCAGGTAGGGAAATGACAGCGGCAGCTGTTTGTGGCTCTTTGTTGCTTTCGTTTAAAGGAGTACCAAGAGGGCTGAAGGAGTCAGTGATTCCTTTAGGTTCTCTCAGAACGAAGCTCTTGTCTTTCATCATTCTACTCAGAGAAGGGGGTGGATTTTTTTTTAATATAAGAGTTCATATTGTACCTCATTTAAAAAGGTCCCCTTTTTTCTCCATCCTATTACTCCCTGTCTTTTTACTCCCTCTCTTTTTCCCCCTTATCCCCCTCTCCTATTTTACGATATGGTAAATAAGTCACTTTCAAATTATTTTGAAAAAAGGTCCCCTTTTCTAAGTAGAATAGTCTGGATGGGAAAATGGCAGCACTGGCAGCAGGGATCCCTGGTGCTTTTCACTCTGTGTGGAATGACCCGTGATTTATCCAAATTCATACTTTTTGCCCCCAAACCTGCCTTTGAATTATACATAAGGTCAATTTATACACAGGCATATAATATATTTCAATGCCAGACAATTGAAAATAGAAGAAACTGTTCTACAGGGGTTATGATGGGTCAATCCACTGCACTTTACTATGGTCTAGCAGTTCTGCAAGATCATGTGCAGAATTTCCTCCCCAGTTCTCCAGTTGCCTGAGATCTTTTTATATAGAGATGTCAGTGAATGACTCTGTCAGCCTTCAAAGCCTGCTTTTTTCCTAACTGAGCTGCACACTAACTTGAACATACAGTAATCAGCATGGAAGTTTCCAACTGTGGGTTAAAGTCAAAGTTACTGCCCTTAAAGTAAGCAGAGAAACCAGGAAAAATGCTTCACATTCTTTTGTTTCTTACTCTCTTGTCTCTTTTTAGGTAGCCAAAACTGGTTTGGTCCAAAGTAATTCAACTCAGCGGGCTGAGTCCCAGGTGACCAAGACGGCTGCCATTATGATCCTAGCCTTTCTTCTTAGCTGGATGCCTTATGCGGCCTTTGCTCTGACCAAAGTAGTGAAACCAGATGTGACCATGGATCCCAACATTCAGAGTATTCCTCTGTTCATGGCTAAAACAGGAACCATATACAACCCAGTGGTTTATGTCTGTCTGAACAAGCAGGTAAATCTCCTCCTGGCTGCCCTAAAATGTTGAATTCCTCTTCATTTTCAGCCTGCGGGTCTTGGCATGTCTTACCATAAATAAGAAATTATATCTTGTGCTTGGATTAAAGGAATGATAGTATGTTCCAGTTTTCTAACTCAGAGACGGATCTCATTACTAGATTGATAGAGAGTCCACATCTTACTCTTCCAGACATTTAGTAGACCACATTATTGTATTGCATAACTCGGGAGATTGAAATGGCTTGATTCAGAAAAGTACATACAGTACAACCTCTCAAACGTGTCCTCTGTGGAAATTGACTCTATGGTATTCTAGGTCTAGAACTCCTTTATTTTAATAGTGTTCACTATTAGCTTCAGGTTCGGATCTCCCCCACAGATACATTGTACTGTGTTTCTAAGAGGCTTCTGAAAATAGAATAATTGACAATAAAGGTTTTTTAAGTGTGTGCCTGACTTCTTGGGTTGGATTATTAGTGTTCTAAATTAAACAGGTGGCAGCCTTGTTATGTGAATTTCAAGAGTTTTTATTCTGTCTCATTCTTTCTCTCGTAAAAGGGGATCTCAGGTATCATCAAGTTTATGCAGACTTTGGGGGCCTTATGTAGGTCAGACTTTGAGGCAAGGTTTGTCCTCTAGGAACACTAAGGAAAAATACAGAAGAACAAGACTGCCCTGGGGCAAACTTTAAAACTGATCCAATGATAAGATCTGTTCATGAGGTTGCCTGGTTTTTAAAAACAAAATGGGCATAAACACTATGATTTTTTATTGGTAAATAATTTAAAAAGATCAACATATATAAAGGAACATCACTTGCATATGCTCTCTACCACTAGAAAAGACGGTAAAGGTAAAGGGTTCCCCTGACATTAAGTCTAGTCGTGTCCGACTCCGAGGGATGGTGCTCATCTCAATTTCTACGTTGAAGAGCCGGTGTTGTCCGTAGACGCTTCCAAGGTCATGTAGCCGGCATGACTGCATGGAGTGCCATTACCTTTACCTATCGATCTATTCACATTAGTATGTTTTCAAACTGTGAGGTTGGCAGAATCTGGGGCTAACAATGGGAGCTCACCCCCATCCCATGGATTTGATCCACTGACCTTCCAGTCAGCAGGTTCAACAGCTTAGTGGTTTAACCTGCTGCACCATGGTGGCTCCTAGAAAAGATGGTAGTCCTCAGTAATCTGGAAGTGTCACATGGAGCAAAGTACAGGAAAAGAGATTCCTGAAAAGTTTTCTGCCTGTAAGCACTATTTGATAAGGGAATATGCTTCTCAGGAATCTGGTAGAGTCCTCTGCTCTGGAAGTTTTTAAACAGGCTGGATGGTCATTTGTCAGGAGTACTTTGATTTGTATTCCTGCATGATAGTTAGTTGGACTGGATGGCCCTTGGAGGGTTTTTCCTAACTCTAGGAATCCATAATCTCCAGGTAGGGCAGAATGGGGAAATGTTAGCTCTTGCAAAATCCCCAGCCAGCAAGAGGTTGCAAGTATTGAATTCCAAAAGGTTTGGAGCACCACAGATTCCCAGTCAAGACTGGGTATACTCATAAGACTTTGGACAATCAAAATGTCCCTGTGTTGCACTTTGAGCTGTAGCTTCACTATTTAAGGCTGCCTTTGTTTCTTCTCTCTACCTTTCAGTATCGAGAACAAGTTGCAGCCTCCTTACGATGCCTACGGAAATGCAGGGTCGTGCCCAGTAAGCACCGGGTGCTGAATGCTTTGCCTCCTGCTCTGAAGAGACTGCAAGGGAAGCAGCTCAGCTGCAATACCAACAGGATAGCCCCCCAGAATGAGTTGAACATCAGCAGGAATCTCCTCTTGCCAAACATGAGCTATTCCGATGATGAATCCTCTTCTCAATAAATGCCACAGTTCTTAACTTTTCGTTCAGCTTGGCTGCCTCTCTTCATTGACCCACATCAAAACGGGTAGCATATGTAGAATACAATCACCCTTCAATGGAGGGTGCAGCTGGTGAATTACCACCAAGACAAAAGGTTACCAATCATGTTGAAGTAGGTCCAGTCTACAAAGTTAACACTTCAACCTTCTATCTCTCAGGTAGTTTCAAAGATGTCACAATATTGCTTTGCATACTGATCCAGATATGGCTGTGGCATTTTATTCAATTACACTTATGAACACCATATGCATATTATTTCTTGAGCATCCTTTATCCAAAATGTTTGGTTCCAGAGGTGTTTTGGATTTTGGATTGTTTTTGGATTTTGGAGTATATACATGACAAGACATCACAAAATTCATTTTTGTTTCCTATACACCTTATACACATAGCCTTAAGTATATTTTTAATAATTGTGTGTGTGGAACAAAGTTTGTGTACAGTGAACCATCAGAAAGCAAAGATGCCATTATTTCAGCCACCCATGTGCACAATTTCAGATTCTGGAGTATTTTGGATTTCGAGGTATAAGGGATGTTCAACCCGTATTACATAATTCTAATACAGCATAGGATATTATTCATACTATTATTCATGCATATCATGACATAGGCATAAGTCATACTTATGGATTCCATACCCATTAATTTGAGACAGCATCAGCAATTAAAGCTTTAATTTTGTTATGCTTGCCTGGATGTTTGGAATGTAACAATGGGGAGAAATAAATTGCCATTCAGTCCTGGAGCAGTACTAAATTGGATTGTGTGCCTGTATGTGTCACATACACACCAGAGTAACTAGCACAGAGCCCTTGATTAGAAGGGAATTGAAATGTTGTCGTCGTGCCAAGGCTATTTCTATGAGGTAGAAGCAAACCTGATACCTTTGCATAGCCCAAGCTAGCTAGCCATCCCCCACCTCTCCTCACACAATGAAGTGCATTATTCCATCTTGCATTGTGTCACTTGGGGCTATTTTGAGCTGGAAGCTCCCAGGGCCATATTTGGGAAACTCATGCCTGGGCGGATAGTGCTGAAGGTCAACGATGACAAAAGTCTTCCAACAAAGGCAGAATTTCTCAATTGCCCATGGAAAGTGGGGACATAAAAGCTATTCTATTTCACTGCACACTTTTGAGGCACTTTTCTCCTCAGGCTAAGAGCCCGCTCTGGTTTAACTGAAAATCCTGTCGAATACATTCAAGTAGAAGAAAAAAGAAAGACTGAATCTTCATGTGCACTTTTAAGTTACATTAATAGCAGGGTTGTCCATCTCTAGCATGAATGGAATCCAAGCAAACGTTACACTTATCTTTTTACTCCAGCAGTGTATTTTTATTACAGGCTTTACGTGGCCCAGGATATAGCTCAATGAATACAAGAAGGAACAAAGCGGAAAGCAGACACTTCATTTTAGAATGAGGGTTTTCGAATGTACCTATGGTACTACCAATAGAAGGTTACACAAGAGTACAGATCACATTAGAGGGCCTTTTCTGTAGTGACTCCTCAGCTCCCTCCATGTGGAAAATCAGGTTAGTTCCATCCTTTTAGGATTTTTGGCAAAAGCTCAACATTGTATTGTTTTGTATGGTCTTTGATCCTTGAAACCATGGGTGACTCTTTTGTGTGAACTTGAAAGGATGTCCTAATTGTTCAAAATTAGGATAGCCTAGGTTGGCAAAGTGACTTAACACTGCTGACAAGTTTATTTTAAATGAGAGTGAGCTGATACATGTTGAAAGTATATTTGAGGCACATTTTTCTGCACACACTTAAATAACTACTGCACATATTAACAGGAGTTACTATGCCCCCCCCCCCTTTATAGTATACAACTCATCTTTAACTGCCATGGCTGAATCCTATGGAATACTTGAGTTTGCAATCTTCTGGGGAACTAGAGGTCTTTGGCAGAAAATTCTAAGGACCCCCCATCCCAAACTACAATTTTCAGGATTCCATAGGACACAACCATGGCAGTTAAAATACTGTCATCAGGAGTCAATGTGGTGTGATCATTTGAGCATTGGATTAGAATTCTGGAGATCAGAGATCAAATATCTCCACCACTGAAACCCACTAGGGGACCTTGAGCAAGTCACAATCTCTCAGCCTCAGAGTAAGGTAAAGTCCTCTGAACGAATTATACCAAAGGCCCTTCCACATAGCCATGTAACCCAGAATATCAAGACAGATAATCCACAATATCTGCTTTGAACTGGATTATCTGTGTCCACACTACCATATAATCCAGTTTAATGTGGATTTTACACAGCAGAATAAAATTCACATTAAACTGGATTATATGACAGTGTGGATTTATGTTTGGCTTGTCCTAAGTCAGAAACAACTTGAAGGCACACAGGTTACTTGCACAGTATGAGAGGGGCTTAACAGAGCCTATTCCAAAAACTGATCAACTAGGGATCTACATGGTATCTGCATATTCAGAATCAGTATTCTTTCCAACCCCCAGTGCTTGAAACCAACAGAAAAACATTTCAGCTGTCAAGGCTTGCCTGTGACCTTCCCCTTTGGAAAAACAATGCATTACTGGTTTGTTACAATAGGGTTCTTGGTTTGCTCCAGACTCTAGATATCATGACATTGGTTTCTGCTTTGGTCAGACCTCTGCTGGAATACTGCGTCCAATTCTGGGCACCACAATTCAAGAAGGTGCCCAGAGGAGGGCAACTGAAGTGATTAGAGGTCTGGAGACCATGCCCTACGAGGAGTGTCTTAAAGAGCTGGGTATGTTTAGCCTGCAGAAGAGAAAGTGGAGTCATGATAATCATGTATACATATGTGAAAGGATGTCATAAGGAAGAGAGAACAGGCTTTTTTTTCTGCCGCCCTGGAGATTAGGACTCAGAACAATGGGTTCAAACTAAAGAAAAGGAGGTTCTACTTGAACATTAGGAAGAACTTCTGACAGTAAGAGCTGTTCAGTAGTGGAAAACACTGCCTCATAGTGTGGTGGAGGCTCCTTCTTTGGAAGCTTTTAAACAGAGGCTGGATGGCCATCTGTCAGGCATACTTTGATTGTGCTATTTCTGCATGGCAGAAGGTTGGACTAGATGGCCCATGTGGTCTCTTCCAACTTGATGATTCTATGGCCTTAAATGGTTTTTGACTATTGCTCATGTAAGCTTTACCTGATACAACCAATGGTGAGTAACACTGGACTTGTAATGTAACTTTCAAAATATCGTATTAAGTATTGTATTAAAAAACTCTAAAATTATAACAGTAAATAAAGAACAAAACTCAAACACAGGGAACTCAAGAAAAAAACAAACAAGAACACCTAATCACATCTCAACAAAGGATTCCCCCCAGGCAGTAACAAGCCACACCTAAAAACTGTCAGACCATCAAATGCTGATCGAGGTGGCCAACTGAAACATTTACACCTAGCTCCAACAGACAAAAGAGTTCTTTCTCCCACCCTGGACTTTCCAGATATATAAACCCAATTTTCCTAGTTTCCAACAGACCTCACAACCTCTTAGGATGCCTGTCATAGATGCAGGTGAAATGTCAGGAGATAATACTTCTGGAACATGGCCATACAGCCCGAAAAACCTACAACCTAGTGATTTTGGCCATGAAAGCCTTTGACAATATATCGCAAGTTGGGTTGCTGTGAGTTTTCTGGGTTGCTTTCCAGTTTTCTGTGTTATCACAAGTTGCTTAGCTTTGATCTGATATTATTCAGGTTAAGAATGTCTATCTTTTTCCCACTAGTTATACAAGCTTGATATCACTTTATTTGACTGCTTTCCACAAAATTCTGGTGGGTCACAAAAACTTGTCTGGCAGAGAATTCCACATCCTTCATGAAACTATGAATCCCAGGATTCCATAGGATGCAACTATGCCAGTTAGAAAAAAGTATGGCGGCATAATTGTGTGAAAGAAATCTTGATTGTAATCTTAACATAGTTCCCTAAGTTTTTCATCAGAAATTTTCTTTAGTTGAACAGTACTGTTCTGAAGGCACCACCTTGTGGACAAATGAGATTATAGCAGTCATCTAATAATACTATATAGTTCATTGTATTTGGTCTCTATCCTGTGTGATTGTGTATTTTATATAAACACATTGATATGTATCTTTTATGGTACTGCATTTTAATGTGTGTTTGTAGAATTTTATACTATAATAATAACAATAATAAACAACTTTATTTATAGCCTGCCACTAGTATTTGTGTGTTTTTGACTGTGCTGTGACCTGCTTCGAGCCATGGGGAGAGGAGGGTAAGAAATAAAATTAATATTATAGCCCTATAAAACACAGGAAAGTATTTCAATGCAAAAACAATCTAATTTAAATTAAACTGCTTTAAGAGAAATGCACTTTTTGCTACCATATTCTTCCTACTATAAGCAAAGGAACATGATATCAAAGACCAAAACTATTGTCATCTATTGTTTTGCAGTTTAGGAAGATACCAAGAAACCAGAAGGTAGGAGAAATATTGTAAGACGAGTCTCCTCAGTATCAGTTTTTGGTAAAGGTTTCCCCGACATTAAGTCGTGCCTGACTCTGGGGTAGTGCACATCTCCGTTTCTAAGCCGAAGAACCAGCGTTGTCCATAGACACCCCCAAGGTCATGTGGCTGGCATGACTGCATGGAACACCTACCTTCTCACAGAAGCAGTACCTAATAATCTACTCACATTTGCATGTTTTCAAACTGTTAGGTTGGCAGAAACTGGGCTTAAGTGGGAGTTCACCCTGCTCCCGATTCAAACCGTCAGCCTTTCGGTCAGCAAGTTCAGCAGTTTAACCCGCTACACCACCAGGGGGCCCTATCTGTATTACAAATGTTAAATATGAAAAATGTTTTGGCTAAAGTGAAATGGAGAAGCTTTTGTCGTCTTATAAATATTGATGGCAAAGTTCATGAAGTTATCAGACACACAAATTGTTACCATGTGTTCAATGTGGACATTATGCAGGCAGAGAGTGAGATCTAACACATTCTCACAGCCATGTGACACCACCTGTAGTTCTTCAACCAAGCATGCAAGCTGTGCTCATGTCATAGAACATTCATAAGTCCCATTACAGTGCAAGATCAGTCTTAAAAATGCAATTTCTTAATGATTATACCAGAGGAACTTCACCTGCCTGCTTATAATCAGGACATGATTCCTGCAGTCATTGCTATTGGTTCTAGTGTTTTTATACTTTTTTATAAACACACACCTGTCAACTTAAACTAGCATGACTTCGTGAACTAGTAAGAAAACCTTTGGCACTTTAGCATTTACAAGGCTTGTTTTGTTGCAATAGGCCAACAAATTTGACTTAATTTAGCGCTTTCCTTGTCCTACCAAGACTGTGGCCTCCAGAACCTGCTTTAGTGATTTTATTCTTACATATACCTCTCAATTGCCCCAGAGGGCTTTTGTCTCCCAGTGGTTCTACAGGACTGAGGCTTCTAATCTTCCCTCCCTCCCACAAAGCAGACAATATTTCCCTGGTCTTCCAAACCCTGAGGCTTTCTCATTTTTGTTTTCTTCCCCTGCAACATCTTGATTGTTCCTATATTCAGTGTGCCCTACTGTAAGTAGCAACACCTGTCCTTTGTGTAAACTCTTGATCAATTTCTGTACGGTAGAAGGAAATGAGGTATTGTAATTAAGTAGAATGAGAAAGACTAACTGTACAGCCACAAGAGACCCGTTTTCAAAAAATGCTGTAGAGTAGGGGTGTGCAACATGTGGCCCTTTAAATCAAGGCAAGTGTGGCAGCCTTTGGCTTAAAGTCTATGAGGAATTAAACTGTCACAAACAATGAAACAAATATGTTATTGGTTCCTGCCAAACTAGGGGTGGGCTTAGAAACAGGGCCTATTGGTCTACTACATCAATGTTTGATGAAAATTATTTTGCTTGTTTCAGGACAACAGCTCTTAGAATTCCTCAACGCTGCCTTTACAGGCTATGGCTGAAAGGACTTGCATCTGGAACACCATCTGATTCCTACCTGTTTTAGCCCCAAAACAGAAAACATTACATTTACACCTGTGCATTTCAGTTTTATTTAAACAAAATGCTCGGAATAAAAATGAAGAGAAGGAAAAGAAACTGCTGATCCAAGTTCCTAGCAACTCAGTCCCTTTTGGTGTTCAAAGATGAGCTGGTTACTTGGCATTTTTAGCGTTATTGGCTCTCATTTTTTTCAGCCCCTTTTTGTTGTGTTTCTTTGCAAAGCGCATGTTCCTCAAGAACTTAGGATCGACCTAAAAAGAGAGAAAAAATTAATTATCATTTGTCTGGCAATTCATCAAATTGGTTGTAGGTCTTTACTATTTATAACAGCAAGAAAACAGCAGATTGGCTCTGTAAATGTACAAGATGAAATCTTGAGCCTCAACAGGTGACGCAGCCTGCACAGGCGAGTTCATCAACCCTGTTTCCATTCTTTTGGCTTTTCCACTTGTGTCTTCATCTCTCTACACCTCTCTCTGCCAGAGCTATGTGAATATTATTAGGAAAATATAATTATGACATAATACTGGTAATAAGGTGTACACAAGGTAAGGATAGCAGGTTAGCAGTCCACTCAACTTCCTAGTACTACTGATATGTACAGAAAAGGCTTCTATGCTAAAACAAGGAAAAGCTCTATTTATGAAGACACTACACAATAGGAGAAACAAAATTTAGTGCATAAAGGTGCACTTTCGAGGTCTGCACTGCTAGGAAATTTCTTCAACCAAGCAGTAGAAATTAGTTGCTCAAGTTTTTGAAGAATTAGCTGTTAAAGTTCACAAAAGTTCTTTTTTCACCATGAGAGCCTTTCCTCTGTACCAACAAGTTAAACCCTGTCAGTTGAACATAAAGAATTTAAAACCAGTTTTGGAAACACTGGAGGTTCAACAACAAAAGTATGTGAAGTAGGCAGGGCAACATCATGTCAGAGAAAGGTCCATTCAATGAAGTAGAAACACAAACATATTGTATTATATTTGGTAGCAACCATATACAATGTTGGAATTTCTGTGGTGCTTGATGTTAAGCTCTGTGGCCCTGCATTCATTGACAAGTGCTGTTTCCTCATTTTAAATGCCATAATGTAAATACAGCTAGCAAATAAGGCCGTCCCAAACTAGTTGTCAAAGAAATTGTGAACAAAAAATAATACTCACCCCTTTTAGAGATTCGTATCTATTTGACCTGGGTTTCTTAATACCATTTCTGTGCCACTTGCGAGCTGTGTGGAATTAATACCATGAATAGATTTAGAATAAAGACTATAGATAACTACACAGAGATACTTTCAAATCCATTAGCAAGCAAAGAAGAAACAATGTATTGTCAAAGGCTTTCATGGCCGGAATCACTGGGTTGTAGGTTTTTCAGGCTACCTCACAACTTCTGAGGATGCCTTCCTTAGATTCAGGCAAAACGTCAGGAGAGAATGCTTGTAGAACATGGCCATATAGCCCGAAAAACCTACAACATCCCAAACAAGAAACAATTTTTATTATTTTTGTGACAATTTCCCAGACCATTAAAGCAGTGTTTCAAGTTAAAATCCTGAATTTGAAACAAACTTTGTAGGTGATTTGAGACAAACCACTTCCCTCTCCCTTAAAATGGTACTATGAACCTGACACGTGCCGCAGTTCTGCTCCCGACTCTCCCTACTTGCTTCAGTAAGTGTGACAGGCCAGGTTCCTAATCTTCCTGGTGCTTTGAGCTTCAAGGCCCCCAGTCCCTCCCTATAAAGCACCAACCAGTGTTGATCCTTCACTTCCTCAACATTCAAAAGGAGGAAAGGGAATCTTTAAAGTGGTCCTTTGTTTCACACATATTTTTTTTTCAAATGCAGGGAAGAGTTGAGTTCTTGCTGTTCTCTTGGGTTTTGGAACCAATCATTCCTCACTATGTTTTGTGCTTTAAATCAATATTGACAGAAATGCAATAGTTATCAATTATGAAAAATGTATGCTTTTTTGGTATGTGTGCTGGCAGCTATACTGTACCAACAGAATATAATGCCTTTCAAACACATATGCTTGATTTTTTTAATCATTCAGGTTACATGCTACAACTTCTCTCCAGCCACAAGTGAACTTCTTCCACCATTTCTGGAAAATGTTATAAAGAATGTATTCATTTATTTAATTTATATGCCACCTTTCTTCCAGCACAAAAGAAATGCCAATACATGCAAAGGCATGTGAGTTCTAGCATGTATTCTTCTGCCCCCCAAAAACAAATTTGACCTTTTCTGCACACTTGCATTCCTATTGCCTCCTTCTGCCCAAAATTATTTCATCCGGCTCAATGATATTTGGAAGGCATGCATGCTGCAGGTGAAGCGATCCCACTGCACCTAAGACATGGCTTTTGTTGTTACTGTTGTGTGCCTTCACATTTCAACTTACAGCAACACTGTGTAGATTTATAATAGGGTATTCATGACAAGATTTGTTCAGAGGGGGTGTGCTTCCTTTGAGGCTGAGAAGGTGTGACTTATCCAAGGACACCCAATGGATTTCCATGGTCAAGTAAGGATTGTAATCCCTGATTTCCACAGCCCTAGTCCAACATTCAGAATACTACACGACATGTCTATCAGGTGAAGATTTATCTGGGGAATGGCTTAAAATGCAATAGCCATGGCTATGTTATGATCAGCACATAAATGTCATAAACAACACTATACTTCCATGTTTATCTTTATTAAAAGGTTGGGGTAGCAAGTGCCCACCTTTCCTCCCATATATATTCCCTGTTGGCTTTTTAATTTCCTTAAGAAGCAAAACTAAATATTAGCTACAAATGTTAAGTAGTAGAATTGGTTCTTAACCTAGATTTAATTGTATGCAAGCATAATTATTTTGATCAAACCAGTTCTTCCAGCAATACTTGCACACTAGTGAAAACTATAGAGATGCTCAGTCATCTGGAATTTTTAGTAAACACTTCCAGATAAAAAGGATTTTAAACCTCACATCTGTTGATAAAAAGCTCAACCACTATAGTCACTAATTATTTAAAACAATTTGCATTCAAATAAAGTAGTAGTGATTTAGATGTTTCCAATATATCAATACACACACACACTCACATATTCATGCTGACCAATATTCAATCACCAACCCCCAGAACAACTTACACTGATTGTGGGTGGTGTGGTTCTTGGACTTGGCCATGGCTTAAACCTGTTGAAAGAAATAATGATCAGAAGCCAATATAGACCAAAAAAACTTCACTTGATCCTGTTACAGAACTCCCAGTTATTTGGCATATCACATTCTCAGGCATCTTTTAAAAGGATTTATGAACTGTGAATTGGATCAAAGGTCCAACTCATTTAACATTATGCATACCGGGAGTCAGATGCTTTGAAGAACTAATAAGTAAAAGATAAGTTCTAATGAACTCAGTAGATCTCCACCCAGTAATAACACACAGTATGGCACTGCCGCGGGCAGTGGTTCTCAACTTGTGGGTCCTCAGGTGTTTTAGCCTACAACGCCCAGAAATCCCAGCCAGTTTATCAGCTATAAGGATTTCTGGGAGTTGAAGGCCAATACATGCGAGGATCCACAGGTTGAGAACCACTTGTCTAGGGTCTGGAGCAGGGATACCAAAAGTATAGTCCTCCAGGTGTTTTGGGTTTCAGCTCCCAGAATATCTGACTACTGACCAAAGTGGTTGAATTTGGGAATCAGTGGTGTGGAGCTTCTAAAGACAGTGTCTTCTGTACAGTTTAAATTACTATGGTTAGCAGCTGCTGACAGACTAATCGGTTAGATTTTTTAACAAACTTCCCTACAAATCATACATAGGCCCTCTGGTGGTGCAGTGGGTTAAACTGCTGAGCTGCTGACCAAAGGTTGGTGGTTCAAATCCGGGGAGCAGGGTGAGCTTTTTATTAGCCCCAGATTCTGTCAACCCAGCACTTCGAAAAGATGCAAATGTGAGTAGATGAATAGGTACTGCTTCTACGGGAAGGTAACAACGCTCCATGCAGTCATGGAGCATTGTACCACATGACTTTGGAGGTGTCTACAGGTGTCTAAGCTCTTCGGCTTAGAAATGGAGATGAGCACCACCTCTCAAGAGTCGGACATGACTTGACTTAAGGTCAGGGGAAACCTTTACGTTTACAAATCATACAGACCTAGTAAATATTACCATATGTTCTATGGTGCATTTACACAGAAGTTTGATACCACTTTAACTGCCATGACTCAGTGCTATGGAATCCTGGGAGCTGCAGTTTGTTGAGGCACTAGAACTGTTTGGAAGGGCATGCTCAAGCCATTATAAAACAGCAACTCCCACGATTCCATAGTATTGAAACTATATTAATTCTACAGTGTTTGCACACTTGGAGAAGATGCCCCATAAGAATGATCAGTCTGTAAATCCTGGGCAGGGGGCTTAATGCCATAGCAATGCGATTCCCAGAACCACTAAAACGCAAGACTTTTGAAATTTTGATGGGAAAGATAGGCAATCTTAAAGCTGTGATGCTCCATTCATCGCCAGAGTCTGGGATAGTCCTGTTTGGGCTCAAATCCCAAGGCCATCACACTGCTCTGTGGATTCTGTGTGTCGTAATCCAAGAACTCCACCTTCCTCCCCCTCCCCAGCCTTTTCCCCTCCATCTTCCCCGCCGCCATCCCTCATCCCTGGGGCGCCACGGAGTCCTCGCTCTTCCCCTCCTCCATATTCTCCCCCGGGGCAAAGAGGCTGCCAGGGCCCCTTAGGGAAGTTTCGCCTGCCTGTCCCGCTTCATGGCGGCCGCGCCAAGGCTTTCCCGGGGCAGGATGGCGCTGGATGAGAAGACGAAAGACTCACCTCCGCCGCCACTACAGCTTGGAAGCCAAACCGGAAGAGAAGTGGCGCTCGCAAAGCATCCCGGGAAATCAGAAACGCCAAGCATAGGGACGGACGGACACAGAAACAAGCTTACCGGAGAGAGGGCCTCGTCCTTGAGCGTCCGGCTGGAAACACGAACTACTGCCGAAAAAGTTCCGTCAGAGGCGAAAAAGTGGATGCCCTTTGGGCTGTATGGCAATGTTCCAGAAGCATTCTCTCCTGACGTTTCACCTGCATCTATGGCAGACATCCTCAGAGGTTGTGAAGTCTGCTGGAAACTAGGGAAATTGAGTTTATAGATCTCTGGAAGGTCCAGGGTGGGAGAAAGAACAATTGTCTGTTGGCGATAGGTGTGAATGTTTCAATTGGCCACTTTGGTTAGTATTGAATGGCTTAGCAGTTTTCAAGGTGTGTTTTCTTACTGCCTGGGGAAATCCTGTGTTAAGAGGTGATTTAGGAGTCCCTGATTGTTTCTTTTCTGCAGTTCCCCTGTTTTTGAAAGTTGTTCTTTATTTACTGTTATGATTTCAGAGTATTTAATACTGGTAGCCAGATTTTGTTCATTTTTATGGTTTCTTCCTTTCTGTTGAACTCTAAAATCATAACAGTAAATAAAGAACAACTTTATTCACCTCTCAACAAAGGATTCCCCCAGGCAGTAAGAAGCCATATGGTGAAAACTGCTGGGAGAAACTATAAGCCTTGCCATCGGTCGCTAAAACTTCTTTTATGCACCTTGGCCTCGAGGGGGCTAAACAGAGGAAAAGTGGGCCATACCATCGGAATTGGTAAGGGGTGTTTTTTTATTATTACGGACAGGTTGTGACCACCGATTCTTATGCAGGGCTCACTTCCCGGTTATGGTGAATCCCCCTCTCGACAGATGGAAGCAGCACCTGCAAAATAAACAATGCAGAGAGGGAGCTTTTGGAAAATCTTGCTCCTCCGACAGGGGAATTCCAGACAAGAAACAATCAGGGCCAGGTATCTCCTCCCAATAAAGGATTCCCCCAGGCAGGAAGCAGCCAGGCTTTGAAGCTGCAAGGCCATTTAATGCTAATCAAGCTGACCAATTGCAACATTCACACTTGCCTCAGGCAGACAAGAGTTCTTTCTCTCACCTTGGACATTCCACAGATATGTAAACCTCACTTGCTTAGTTTCCAACAGTTTTCACCACCTCTGAGGATGCCCGCCATAGATGTGGGCAAAACGTCAGGAGAGAATGCTTCTGGAACATGGCCATACAGCCTGGAGAATTCACAGCAGCCTAGTGATTCCAGCCACGAAAGCCTTCAACAACACAGAGTTAGAATCGCTTTAAAAAGTGCATTGAGGCAGCCCTGGTTTGTAGCGAATTAATTCGATAGTGGATTTATTCCGTGCCTTCTTGTAAGGTGTGGGATAAATGCACTATTTCGGGTGTCTGTACTGCAATCCAGATACCATTCCCACAATTTACCAGGCTAAATAAGCCCAGTAAACTGTGGGAATACCCACCCCCTGCCCCAAGCCCCCAGACCCTTTAGATGAGTTTAAAAAACCTTACCAGGTCTGCAGTATTCCCTCCAAGTAGCTCTCCCAGTGCATACAAATGACGTGCCAGAGAACTGGGGGGAGGAGAAAAATCGCTCCCCTGCTCTCCTGGCGCATCATTCGTACGCACCAGGAGAGCTGCTTTGAGGGAATACTGCATACCTGGTAAGTTTTTTCTACTTTTCTAAAGGGTCTGGGGGCTTGGGGGAGGGGGGTAGTCCTCCCCACATTCTCTCGGGCTAGTCCTGAGAGAATGTCTGGACAACTCAGCCAAGAAAGTGCGCACTTTCTGGGGTGGGTATGGACGGGCCCCCAGAAACATCCGTGTTATTTCTGGGATGAGGGCCTGTCTGGATCTGGCCTCAGTTACACTTGGCAAGACCTGACATTTTCTTACGATGTTATATTATATTGTCATAAGAACTAAATTAGGTGGAAATGACCTATCCTCTCCCTCTCTTCCTCTTAGACAGGAGTTCAAGCTGGTGCACTAAGCACATGGTGACTTTTTAAAAAGCCAGTGTGCTGTAAATGCCCTGCAAAAGTTAATAGAAATAGCAATAATAATAATAATAATAATAATAATAATGGTTGTTGTTCATTCGTTCAGTCGTCTCCGACTCTTCGTGACCTCATGTACCAGCCCACGCCAGAGTTCCCTGTCGGCCGTTACCACCCCCAGCTCCCTCAAGGTCAGTCCAGTCACTTCAAGATGCCATCCATCCATCTTGCCCTTGGTCGGCCCCTCTTCCTTTTGCCTTCCACTTTCCCCAGCATAATTGTCTTCTCTAGGCTTTCCTGTCTCCTCATGATGTGGCCAAAGTACTTCAACTTTGTCTCTAGTATCTTTCCCTCCAGTGAGCCGTCGGGCTTTATTTCCTGGAGGATGGACTGGTTGGATCTTCTCGCAGTCAAAGGCACTCTCAGAACTTTCCTCCAACACCACAGCTCAAAAGCATCGATCTTCCTTCGCTCAGCCTTCCCTAAGGTCCAGCTCTCACATCCGTAGGTTACTACAGGGAATACCATGGCTTTGACTAGGCGGATCTTTGTTGCCAGTCTGATGTCTCTACTCTTTACATTTTATCGAGATTGGACATTGCTCTCCTCCCAAGAAGTAAGCGTCTTCTGATTTCCTGGCCACAGTCTGCATCTGCAGTAATCTTTGCACCTAGAAATACAAAGTCTGTCACGGCCTCCACATTTTCTCCCTCTATTTTCCGGTTGTCAATCATTCTTGTTGCCATAATCTTGGTTTTTTTGACGTTTAGCTGCAACCCGGCTTTTGCGCTTTCTTCTTTCACCTTGATTAGAAGGCTCCTCAGCTCCTCCTCGCTTTCGGCCATCAGAGTGGTGTCATCTGCATATCTGAGGTTGTTAATGTTTCTTCCAGCAATTTTTACCCCAGCTTTGCATTCATCAAGCCCCGCACATCGCATGATGTGTTCTGCATACAAGTTAAAAAGGTTGGGGGAGAGTATGCAGCCTTGCCGTACGCCTTTCCCAATCTTGAACCAGTCTGTTGTTCCGTGGTCAGTTCTGACTGTTGCTACTTGGTCCTTGTACAGATTCCTCAGGAGAGAGACAAGGTGGCTTGGGATGCCCATCCCACTAAGAACCTGCCACAATTTATTATGATCCACACAGTCAAAGGCTTTAGAATAGTCAATGAAGCAGAAGTAGATGTTTTTCTGAAACTCCCTGCCTTTCTCCATTATCCAGCGGATATTGGCAATTTGGTCTCTCGTTCCTCTACCTTTTCTAAACCCAGCTTGAACATCTGGCAACTCTCGCTCCATGTATTGCTGGAGTCTTCCTTGCAGGATCTTGAGCATTCCCTTACTGGCATGAGAAATAAGGGCCACTGTACGGAAGTTTGAGCAGTCTTTCGCATTTCCCTTTTTTGGTATGGGGATATAAGTTGATTTTTTCCAGTCTGATGGCCATTCTTGTGTTTTCCATATTTGCTGGCAAATGGCATGCATCACCTTGACAGCAAACAATGCACAAGTATCTCAAATGACAAAGAACAAAAATGTATGTATGTAAATCTTAGCAGACTCTCAAGACAGTAATATACAACAGTATTCTATGTTCTCTATTGGCATAACTTGTCTGAGACTTTATAGCATTAAATAAATATGTTATCAGCACATTAACATAGAGAAATCAACAACAGACTAAAGGTAATAGAGTCCATCCTTTCAGTGAAGAAATTCCAGAGTCTCTATCTTTATCTTCAAAAAAAATTCTTCTTTTGATAAGACAGTCTCAAGGAATTCTTCTTGGGCAACAAGGTCTTTCATAGGCAACAAAATCTCAACAAGGTCTTCCGGTATGTTTATCCTTGTTTCGAACAATATCTTCCTCAGGGTGTAGTCTGTATCTTATTATGCTTAGTGCACTAAATAAGGAGTAGAAATAACATACAACATAGATACATGAAACTCCCCAAAATAACATTGATTAGAAAAACATTTTGTAATAACAGTAAAGATACATGCTACTCTACTTACATTCTCTTCAGTAATACAGGTTCTGTACTACAGGCTCTGTTGTAGTAGGAGTTCTGTAACGAGCAGTGAGTCATAGCTGGGCTGTCTCTTAAGTAGAATTACATCTCACAAGAAACAAGTGTATTCAATTTTATCATTTAGTCCCATCTTTAATACCACTAAGAATCCATTTTCTTCAGATATCCTTTATTTTGGAAGGTATCTAGATGATATATTTACAGTAGTGAGATCACAGTCAGTAGCTGACCTATTCTACAGCTGGATTAATACACTACATAAACACATGAAATTTACACACCACTATAGCCCTACTAATGTTAACTTCCTGGATGTCATGGTTTTCAAAAAAGGTCAGAAACTATTAGTGAAAAATTATAGTAAACCTACAGACAAGAATTCCTTTTTACATTTTTCCAGCTTTCATCACTTTTCTCTTAAATCCAATTTACCATTTTCTCAGTTTTTAAGACTGAAACGTAATTCTAGCACACAAAAGGACTTTGAATCTACGGCAGGTATCCTGAAAAAACAACTCAGAGAGAGAGGATACCCTAATAGCATACTCAACACAGCCATGAACAAGGCAAACTCCATCAACAGAGGTGAATTACTACAGGAACGCCCTAGAAAACATAACAACCGCATAATATGGCCCTTGACACTGACACAATATTCATCCAAGATCACTAAGATTATTTCAAAACACTGGCATTTACTACAGGACATTCCTGGATGCAAAGACAAACCTATAATTGCCCATAAAAGATCCAGAAATTTAAGGGACCTTATGATCCACTCTGAATATAACACTCCTAATACATCCCATGAACCTACCACTAGGGGTCACACTAGCTGTGGACACTGTAACTGCTGCCAGCAATCACTTAAGAGTAAAATATACTCTCATCCAACACTCAATATTAATGTCACATTACGACATTTGACAACATGTTCCAGTGATAATGTAGTGTACCTGTTAGAATGCCCCTGCAAATTACTATATGTTGGAATAACTACTAGACCCCTTAAA